TGATGTGTGGAGCGTTTGGCACTTTTGCTCCTTGAGTGCTCTCTCCTGCAGCAGTGCAAAGCGTGCTCTACCCAGAGCCGGAAAGAAATCCACCTTCGGTGTTTGCTGCTCACCCAGGGCCTGCTTTTCTTGGAGGGAGCAGATTGTAGGCCCAGGCTCAGACCGCCCCCATTCTGGTTACTGCTGCAGCTGTTGGGGCTAGTTCCTGTAGCGGGAGGCATGTGAGAGCTGTGGTACTGGAGTGGTGTTGAAGGAGCATGTATCTGCAGTGCCTGGGGGTACTCCATGCCTTTCCCAGACAGCAGGCGCTTGTGTGTAGCCAGTTTCTGGGAAGCTTGGGTGAAGCTCAGAGTTGGGGCCTGAATTTTCATTCCACTAAGGGGAGGAGCTTTACCTTTAGATCCCTTCAAACAAGATCCACAACCTCAGCTGGCCCTTACCAGGGTGAGCCAGATGAGGGCCCTGGCTATGCCTGGATAGGACATTAAATGCCTAGCAAGTTCCACCTACTCATATATACCCCCCCCCCCCCATTCAGTGATCCCTCCCTTGGCTACATGGCCCTCACACACACACACTCCCCAAAAGCCTGCCTGGGGCACAAGAACTTCATCAAGGGCTGACAACAGGGGTTTTTTCTTTACTAGTTTTTGCTAATTCCCTCTTAAAAGCTCTTTGAACTATTTGCATCACGTGGTCTCTCGGGTCCCCTAGGTAGGTTGCCCGTTTTTCTCTTTTGTAGCTCACCATTCTTTGGGATTAATCCTCTGCTCCATTCTATCAACAACTTTATTCTGCATGTTGTGGGAGCATCTGTCCCTCCTATCAGGAATGTCATTAGCTCCAGGGGACAGGGGTGACCTAAACTAGCTCCATTGAGATAAAATTACTTCGCCCTTATCTCCACTCGGATTTCCCATGGCCTTAGCTAGCTTGATGTAAAACCACAACTATTCCTGCAGAAGAGACATAGCATGTGTATAGTGGCGGGGGGGGGGGGCGGGGAGGGTCTAGTAGGTTTACTCAGAATCTCACCAGTGCTCCATCAGTTTTCCTTGTCTAAACAACCCCGGAGCGTCTCATTTCTACTGTTGCTTCCACTGCAAAGTGATTGTTAGAATCACCAAGTCACCTTTGGGCACTGATTCCCTCATTCCCATTTGTTCTCACATTCATAGATTATCAGGGTTGGAAGGGACCTCAGGAGGTCATCTAGTCCAACTCCCTGCTCAAAGCAGGACCAATCCCCAATTTTTGCCCCAGATCCCTAAACGGCCCCCTCAGGGACTGAACTCACAACCCTGGGTTTAACAGGCCAATGCTCAAACCTCTGAGCTATCCCTCCCCATTTGCATTGCCATGGATTGTGCTGAATATCAGCTATTTTTTGCGCCATTTTCTCACTTACAATATATTTGATTATAGCAGATTCTTTGACACTCAAAGACAATTGGGTGTGTGGGAGGGATTCCCCCCTTTCCCATCATCCCAGCAGTGTTTCCTTCTGTCTCAGCTGTGCAGAGTTTATCTTCTTCACATTCTATCCCTCCACTTCCCATAGTTTCCCAAGACACAGTGTTCTGAGCTCTCCATGCTTGGGAATCATGGTTTGATTTCTTTGATCCTACATCAGACTCATTAGGTTTGGAGGTGAGTCACAGACCTAGAAGGAGAATGTTTAATTGGATCTAAAACCATGTGATCATTCTTTGTTTAAACCCCATATTTCATCTATAGGCAAAGCCACCTCCTGTCTTTTTCCTTTTGAGTTGGGATTGTTTTTGGATGGGAAGGCTGGTTGTTTTTTCACATTATGATGATGCTAAAACTTCCTAAATCACATGACTCAGTAACTGTCAGATAGCGTGGAGTGAAGCAGGTTTCAAAGGATGAGAGGAGAAGATGATGGGAGAATCTGTTGTCCTGATTCTGAGTCATCAGGTGTATCCTGCTCTGGAATTTAACTTTCTGTGAAACCAAAAGGTTCTTACCCCTCGGTGAGAGGTGGTTTTTTCTCTCTCTCCTGAAGGCCGTTTTGTTACATAAATGGACATTAGTTTTGTTTGACAGAATGCAACAGATTTCCTGGGGAATTTGAGCCAAATGGTAAAATAGACTCTATTTTTTTTCTTTTTCCTTTTGCTATTTTCCCACCCTGCCATGATGACATGGAGAAAGTCCAAGTGCAGTTCAGTCAACAAGAGAGAATACTCCAAGTTATTGGACATGCTAACAAAGGAATAGTAGCGTGGTTAAATCTCTGCTCTGACATTGTGATCTCCAGCAGACTCCAAACTGTGCAACTAACTGAAGCAAGTTCAGATGATCACAGTGGTGTTCAATTGTTCAGGTCAATATTGTCTCAGACGATCCATGGAGAGAATTCCAAAGTAAGAGGCATGGAAGGGTGCAAAATCCCCTTGTATTTGGTTCTCAAACTGGTTGTGTCCCAGGCCCTACTGGAGGTTACTCCTGAAGATCTCGCCTGGCTAACCTGGTGAATTAGGAAATGTTGTCCCAAACTATGCAGATGTGGAGGAAAGAGAAGTGGTGCTTTGCTGAACTCACCCTTTCTAGTTGCTGCAATTGTGTATAAAACGAAATCAGTGTTGAATGTGAGACAGCTGCAGAAAAATAACTTTTTTCTCATAGAAACCCCATCTCTGGTAACTCAGTGAGACTCGGATACAGGGCTGTAATCTGGTTCCTAATTTAGATCAATGACACCATCTTGAAGAAATAAACTGGGCATGTTTGAGAGGCCATTCTTCACTACAATTACCCAGATTTTGGGTGGTCTGGTAAAGGATTCTACCACGGAGAAGTGTAAATTTACCCTGACCAAGGCAAAGGATTTGCAAGAACTCAGGTAGAAATAACAGGCACGCACTTGTTCATTTTCACCACAGAGAAGAAGCTGGGGTGCACTATGACCCAGGTCAAACTGTTTTTGGAACACCACGGCTGCTACTCTGAAAACTGCCTAGTACAGTGGCACTGATTACATCCCCAAAGGACGCCAGGGTTAGATTGGGAACAATTGTCCTCTACCATTGAGATCCAAAGTTCCATGAGGCAAAGTGAGAAATGGTTGATGCCTTCAGAGGACGTTCCTTCCCCATGGATCCCAGTCTGGCTGCCTGGTCGGACAACAAGGACTTTTGTGCTGTGGAAGGGATGGTAACCAATGAAGGAATGAATGGGTCAGGCACAGAATTCAGACTGCAACATTTACAAATCTTGTGTCCTGATTCTATGCTTTTGTCTCTTAATTTTGCTCCTATGTCTTATCCATTTTGACCTCTTCTCCTCCACCTCCTGCAATTTTGGAAGATTACAAAGTGTGAAAAAAAGTACAGGCTGTAATTGCAAACCTGCCCTCCTAGGAGACCTTTTCTACCAACATTTATGGCAGAAGACCCAGAGATAAATGAACTATCAGAAGTGGAATGAATCTATATTGGGGTAAACTGTAAGGCTCACTTGGTCTCAACTGGGATTTCAAAGGAAACTAACACATATCATAGAATCATAGAAGATCAGGGTTGGAAGGTACCTCAGGAGGTCATCTAGTCCAACCCCCTGCTCAAAGCAGGACCCATCCCCAAGTAAATCATCCCAGCCAGGGCTTTGTCAAGCCTGACCTTAAAAACTTCTAAGGAAGGAGATTCCACCATCTCCCCAGGTAACGCATTCCAGTGCTTCACCACCCTCCTAGTGAAAAAGTTTTTCCTAATGTCTAACCTAAACCTCCCCCACTGCAACTTGAGACCATTGCTCCTTGTTCTGTCACCTGCCACCACTAAGAATAGCCTAGACCCATCCTCTTTGGAACCCCCTTTCAGGTAGTTGAAAGCAGCTATCAAATCCACCCTCACTCTTCTCTTCTGCAGACTAAATAAGCCCAGTTCCCTCAGCCTGTCCTTGTAAGTCATGTGCTCCAGCCCCCTAATAATTTTTGTTGCCCTCAGCTGGATGTTTTCCAATTTTTCCACATCCTTCTTGTAGTGTGGGGCCCAAAACTGGAGACAGTACTCCAGATGACGCCTCACCAATACCGAATAGGGGGGAATGATCACGTCCCTCGATCTGCTGGCAATGTTCCTACTTATACAGATCAAAATGCCATTAGTCTTCTTGGCAACAAGGGCACACTGTTGACTCATCTCCAGCTTCTCATCCACTGTCACCCCTAGGTCCTTTTCGGCAGAACTGCTGCCGAGCCACTCAGTCCCTAGTTTGTAGCGGTGCATGGGATTCTTCCACCCTAAATTCAGGACTCTGCACTTGTCCTTGTTGAACCTCATCAGATTTCTTTTGGCCCAATCCTCTAATTTGTCTAGGTCCCTCTGTATCCTATCCCTGCCCTCCAGCGTATCTACCACTCCTCCCAGTTTAGTGTCATCTACAAACTTGCTGAGGGTGCAATCCACACCATCCTCCAGACCATTTATGAAGATATTGAACAAAACTGGCCCCAGTGCCGACCCTTGGGGCACTCCCCTTGATACCGGCTGCCAACTAGGTAGTGTCTGTGGGAGGGGAAATAAAAAAGCCCCTCTGCCCCTCCCTCCCCCCATTGCAAACCCTGGGGTCTCAGTCCCACTGGGGTAACTGTAACCCCCTGTGCCAGGTTTTGCCCTCTGTCAGCGCCTCACCCCGAGCTTCTCTCCTGCTCCTCCCCACCAGCCCTGATTTTGCCTTTAGCCCCTCTCCTAACCCTGCCTCCAGCTGCTTGACCCCCCGACCAGTCAATTTCCGGCCCCTGCTCAGACCCTGGGCACCCCCCTGCTCCCATTCGCCCCTTGGCCCCTTTAAGGGCAGGGGGAAGGGCAGTGGCTTCAGCACATGGACTGAGCATGCTCAGGACACCGTAAGTCGCACACGCCTATGGGGGGCAGTTTACTGCGCTACACCGGCCCCAGGCCCCGCCCCCGGGGCTCGCTCCGGTACCTGGGGGCTGCAGCTCCGCAGCGGGGCGGGCAGGGCCCGGGCCGGGCATGGGGGCCCTGAATGAAGGTCTCCCCGGCACAGAGCCTTCGGCGCAGCCGCCAGCGATCTCTGCCTCTGCGCATGCCCGACTCTCCCCCGCACGATTTGCGCATGCCCAGAGCCGGGACACACAGACACAAAACGCTCCGACGGCGCCGCACGAGCTAGAGAGAGCCGCAGCAACCCGCAGCCCTTCCACTACTCGGCCCCCTCCGAACGTCACTTCCGCTCCTGGGAGAGTCAGGAACTACATCTCCCAGCCTGCCCCGGGGGGCGCTTCCTCCCTCTCCAGCCCAGGTAAGGGAGGGCCCCGGGGTCAGCCTGACTCCCCCCGAGTCTCTCATCCCCGCGCAGACGCCCCCGACCCACGCCCCTCCCCCACCCGCCGCCTCTCAGACCCGCCGCGCCCGGAGCCCCCCGGCGCCCTCCCGCCTCTCAGGCGACCTCTCCCGCCCCTGGGCCCGGCCGCTGCGCTGCGCTGCGGGGGGAGCCGGGGAGCGCGGGCCGGGGCTGCTCGCTGGGCGGCCGGAGCCTCAGCCCCGGGGCCCGGGCAGCGCCCCTAGGACCGGCCGCGCCCCCCTTGGCCAGCGCCGGGGCCCCCGAGGCGGCGACCGGCCCGGCGGCCGGGGAGACCCGCCCAGCGGCTGGCCCTGGGGCCGGGGGTCTCCTGCCCGAGGGGCGCGTCCCGGGGGTCGGGCAGCGGGTCGCGGTCACTTGCGCCCCCCGCGTGGCTCCGCGCCTGGCCGGGGAGCGGCCCCGGAGCGCGACCCGCCCGTCCCCGGCCGCGGAGCCCTGCGAGCGAGCCCGGGCCGGGGCCGCGCTGGTGCTTCCCCCGGAGCCTGGTGTACCCCAGGCCGGGGGCTGGAGGAGCCGCTGGCCCCGGGAGGACCCCGCCGCGTGCCCCCAGGTGGGCGCGCCCCCCGGCGGAGAGCCCCCGGTGCCGGGAGCCCGGCCCCCCGGCCGCCCCGGCTTCCCGCCGCGCCCCGGGGCCGGCTCGGCTTTGCTCCCCTCGCCTCAGACAGCCCGGCTCCCCTCGCGGGGTCCCCCCTGCTGCCACGGCCCCGGGCCGAGTCCGAGAGAGGCCGTCTCCTGCGGGGCCCAAGCAGCACGGGTCGGTGCGGAGGGAGCAGTTCCTGCCCCTCCCTCCCGTCTGCCTTTCAGAGCTTGCCCCGTTTTCTCTCTCATTCCCCAGTGCTCATGTGACAGCCTCAGATCTGGGAAGTGTGACCTGCAGCGAATTTTATTTCTGTGGGAAATTGTCCTGAATCATTCCCCAAATGAGAAGGGGCTTAATGGGTGCAGCTTGCCGAGCCCTGAGACCCAGCTGCCTCTGGGGTGGGATGGGGTGGCCATTCTGTGCCAGCACCAAAGCAAGGAGGGAAGAAAACCCACTGGAGACTGTCCAGCCCAAGGTTACGCAGTCCTGGCTACTGCTGCCCCCAACTGCCCAACACGGCTCCCCCCCCAGCCGCCAGTCACCTGCCTGCCCCTGCTGCTGCCTCCTCCCCACTGCCAGGGAGTTTTCCTGCTCCATACTCCCCTCACCTACCCTCTTAAAGTACCTCCCCAAAGGGCTCCCTGCTGCCCATGTGAATGGTGTGTGTGTGTGTGTGGGGAATTATTACTGTCTGTTTAATGAACTTCCATATACAATCCCATCAAAGTGTCCAACTACTCTCACTTAACAGAAAATCTCTTCAGATCTGGGTGCTTTTATCTCATTATCAAATATTTCTTTTTAGACCTATTTCTTCCCCAGTTCTCCAAGATAGATCTAAAATATCCTGTGTGCAGTGCTGTAGTAGCCATGGTGGTCGCAGGATATTGGAGGCTGCCCCCTTGATTTATATACAGATGTTCCGTGTTATTCTCCATCCCATTCCTTATGAATCTGCACGTGTTAGCTTTTTTGCTGGCAGCTGTGCATTGAGTGGAGCTTTTCATTGATCTGTCTACCGCAACATGCAGATCCCTTTCTTGAGTTATGTAGCTGATAATATGTTCTGCTGATGCCACTAGGTGTAATGCATGTTCATAGGGGTTTCTCTCCTACTAATGTTGGGGTGTCCTTCTCCTGTAGGTTAGTGTATTAATGATCTCATCTTGGGGTCAAATGTGTCAATTCGTTGCTCCTGTGGTCAGACATCTGCGGCTGTTCTGTCGAAAAGCCGGTGTTAGCTCATGTTCCTCTGGTTGGCTGATGTCTTTACGGACGAAATTCCCACTTAGATACTCTGTTTCCAGTTCTCCAGATCTTAGGGGTGACTGTTAGGACATTTGTCTGTGTCAAAGTTCATAGGCCTCAAGCCTTATGCTAACCGTTCAAACCAATATCGTACAGGATACAGGCCTGTAGGTTCCTGGCATTACTGCTGCATAAAATAAATGCTAAAGCTGGATCTAGGGGCTACATTTGATAAATGATAGTTTGAAACATTTGAAAAATGATAGTTAATTTACCCCACAAAGTGTATAAGTAGCTGCAGTTTTTTCTCTCCAATGTGCATTGTTTTGCATTTAGAAAGACAAGGTGGGTGAGGTAATATCTTTTATTGGACCCACTTCACTTGGTGAGAGAGACAAATCTTTGAGCTACACACAGATCTCTTCTTTAGGAGAGTGGCCTAAAAAATTGTCGTCCTTTCTCTCTAGCTATCTATTTCTAATTTAATATTCCCTGAGATTTTTTCCATGTCTTACTAATAATAAAATAGTAACATAAAATATCCTCAGATTTTGATGTTTTCTCCAATTTTTGAATATATTTAGAAAAGTTTTGCAGATATTTCCTATTTTCTCTCAATTGTCAAATAACAATATGAAATTCACTCTCATTTTACCTCTTTACCTACTATTGACGATTGATATAAAATCCCTCACGTTTTTCTGCTTTCCTTTCTAGTTTGTGAAAATCGATCAAAAATTCTCCAGATTTCTAGCCTTTTCTTTTTAATGACTTAACATGGATATCAGCTGCCAGATTTTTGTCTTTTTCCATGTAATTATCAAATATCTGTTAAAAGGCATCTTGCGTTTGGAGACGTTCCCATGTTTAGTTGCAGCAAGTTCTCCTGCTTTGGAGGAAATTTGTTGCCTTAGTCATTCTCCATCCTGCCGGTTGCAGGGAGTTAAAGGGTCAACTTTCTCCTCTCATTTGAGACTCATTTCTTTCCCCCTTTATCTTCATTAAAATTTTTGCTGATGAAAGTGACTTGCCCCATATTTAATACACATCAAAGCCAGAGTGTCTCCCAGCTGCTCACAGGACAGTTGGCTGGACCCTTTTCTTTTCCTCAGGGGGCACAGGATGAGGGCTCAGTTTGTGCCTATCTCCTTGCTGCCCAGGCTGTACCCAGAGTGGCTGAGAACCTCCATGCTACTGTATTAGCCCCTCAATTTCCCCTCACCATGTTCACCGACAGTATTCCAAACCCCCATGATGAACGGTCTCCATGGTGTAATAAAATGACCAAACATTTCCTCAGAATAGAAACATAGAACTGTAGAGCTGGAATGACCCATGAGAGGTCATCTAGTCCAGCCCCCAACACTGAGGTGTTTGTCCAACCTGTCCTTAAAAACCTCCAATGATGGTGATTCCACAACCTCCCTTGGTAACCTATTCCAGTACTGAACTAGCCTTCGTCACAACTGAGTCACAAGGCTGGCTCAGATTCAATTTGTGATCTACTATAACCCCAAGATCCTTTTGAGTAGTACTGCCCCCTAGCCAGTTAGTCCCCCGTTTGTAGTTGTGTTTTGGATTTTCCTTCCCTAAAATGTAGTACTTTGCAGGGTGGATAAAAATCAATAATTTTTTTTAAATATTGGATTTTTTTATTTAAATCAGATTTTTTTTGATAAAATGCTTTTTGAGGAAAAAACCATCTAAAATAGATAAATTATAGCTCAAAGATATCTTGTCATGGAATAGGGATTATAAATTTTAATTCTATAGAGAAACAATATATTCAAGTAAAGTTTAAGAAAAGTTTTGTAAATGAGTTCCAATAGTTTATGGATTAGGGACCCAATCTTATGGGGTTCCAGGGGCTTCTGTATCGGTTATTGAGGTTAATCTTTCTATCTACCCAATAGGGCTCGGTGCTCAGTTTAGAAGATGCCATCAGAGATGGTTAGTTTTGCAATTCTCAAACTCTGGATTTGTGTCTCCAGAGATAACATGCTTGTTAACAGCAAAAATGTTTTAAAATAAATAATATATAGAGGTGAGAAATAACAGACCTCAACCTTATTGTACCTCTGCAAATTTGTGTACACAGAGTCAATCCGTTACCTCTCTCTAAAAGTGCAAAGTTTCAAAAAGTTCAATGAATAGAAGATTGTTGGAGGCGGAATTGATCTGGACAAGGGGAAGTCGTCTGAAGATAAATGTGAGAAGGGAGGGACAGGCAGCAGAAACAAAAGTGAAACTGTTTGAGCAGCATATTCCAGAAGTCTTGAGGTCTTTCTGACTGTAGCCTTCATTGATTTGAGATCGACCATACCATTCTCTCACTAGAAGGGAAAACCTTATAATGGCAGCAGGCCGTAAAGGAGACCCAGTTTGGGAATATTTTAATGAAGTTCCTCTGTCTGTGGGTAAGACAGGCATGGGTGCAAAATGCAAACAGTGCAACAAAGAAATGCAAGGCCTAGTTGCCCGAATGAAACAACAACGCAGCTTCCTCCTGAGAAGGAACACTTCTCATGATGAAGATGTCATAGGATCTTGGCTATCTTGAGAACCCCTTCGTGCATGGGCAGGGTGGGCGTAGAGGTCAAGAAGACATTGAAGAGGGTGTCCCCTCCTGCTCTGCCATCTCCTGCACTTCCAGCCCCAAGGTCTCGGCCACGTGCTGAAGTAGGGCTTGATGCTCACTAAAGTTATCCAGTGGGCTAGCCCTCGAAGGTCCTGCGACCGCTTTGTCTGGGCTGGGGGAGGTCCCGGGGTGTCGACTGCCATGGGGATGGAGGCAAAAGGGTGGGCACGGGTTGTGTCTGTGACCAACAAGAAGGACAAACAAGGTCACACCTCCTTGACTCCCCAGAACAAAGAGGCCGAAAGGCTCGACTTATTTGGGAGAAAAGTTTATTCTACCACCAGCTACAATATTGGGTGGCAAACCATCAGGCCCTGTTGGGCAGATATAACGTTAACCTCTGGGATGGTCTCAAAAAGTTCCAGAAATCTTTCCCACAAAGTGTAGCCCAAGAGTTTGGCACCCTGGTGGAGGAGGGTACCGCGGTGGCCAGATGCTCCCTGTAGATGGCATGGGATGCGGTGGACTCAGCAGCTCGAGTGGTCGCATCAGTGGTTGTTATGCAGCTCCTGGCTCCAAACAGCGGGCTTCTCCCAGGAGATGCAGGCTTCAATTCAAGACCCACCCCTTCAACAGGGTTGGTCTTTTCTCCTAGCAGATGGACATCAGGCTGCATGGGTTGAAGGACACTAGAGCTACCCTTTCCTCGTTGGGCATGCATACGCCACAGTCTGCTAGAAAGTACTTCCGGCTGCCCCAGCCGCCAAGACTCTGGCAGCCCCATCAGGGCTCTGCAATACGAAGGGATGCTAGTTTTAGTTGTTGAAGGCCTTGCTTGTGCAACCTGCTCCTGCCAAACATCTAGGGGGGCCAAAAATGCTCATTTTGAGGGTGCGCCTGAGAGCAACACCCCAGTCAGCCACCTGGATCCTTCCTGCCTTTTCCTCAACCGCCTCTCTCCCTACCGTTAGGCCTGGTTGCAGGTTACCTTGGACTGCTGGGTCCTGAACGTAATGGCTCAGGGCTATACCCTGCAATTTTTGGCTGCCCCTCCCTCCCACGTCCCTGTCCCTTTTCAGGGACCCTTCTCACTAGAAACTCCTCATTCAGGAGGTTGAAAAGCTTGGACTTGGGGGCTGTGGAGGAAGTTCCCTGGGAAATGTAAGGAAGAGGATTCTACTCCCGCTACTTCCTAATCCTGAAGGTCAAAGGGGGCCCAAGACCCATCCTAGACCTGACTCGCCTCAACAAGTTTTTCAAGAAGTTGAAGTTTCACATGGTCTCTCTGGCCTCCATCATCCCTTCCCTGGATCCAGGAGACTGGTATGCAACTCTCGACTTAAAGGATGCTTACTTTGATGTCTACATATTCCTGGGACACAGGTGTTTCCTGTGTTTCATGGTGGCCGGGTGCCACTTCCAGTTCACAGCGCTGCCCTTTGTCCTGTCCTTGGCTCCCAGAGTGTTCACAAAATGCGTGACGCCAGTGGCAGCTTACCTGACAGTTCGAGGAGTCCAGATCTTCCTGTATCTCGACGACTAGCTCATCAAGGACAGGTCTCTGGGGCAGGTGCGAAGGAGCCTCGATCTGGTATGCTCCACCTACAGTGACCTGGGTCTGCTAATAAACACAGAAAAGTTCACGTTGATGCCAGTCCAATGCATAGAAGTTATTGGAGCGGTTCTTGACGACTCACAAGCTAGGGCCTGCTTTCCAGAGGTGCATTTTTGGGCCATGTTGGACCTGATTTCCCACGTAAAGAGCCACCTGCTCATCACAGCCCACACATGCCTGCGACTGATGGGCCACATGGCCGCGTACATGTACATGGTCAGCCATGCTCGACTGCATCTGCAGCCTCTGTAAGCATGGCTGGCCTTGGTCTATAACCCCAGCAGGCACGCCCTGAATCGAGTGGTCACGGTGCCGAGCCATGACCTCTCATCCCTGGACTGGTGGGTGGATACGAAGTCAGTTCTGCAAGGAGTTCCCTTGATGATCCCATCCCTGTCGCTCACCCTGGTCTCAGACGTGCAGGTCCTGATGGACAATACCACCACAATGTATTACATCAACAAGCAGGGTGGTGCCAGGTCTTCGGCCCTTTGTTGGGAGGTGTTCAACCTCTGGGACTTTTGTGTGCAGCATGCCATTCATCTGGTAGCCACCCACCTGCCTGGAACCAAGAACGACCTGGCAGATCACCTCAGCAGGACCTTCTCGTCTCACCACGAATGGTCAATCTATCTGGAGGTGAACAACCTAATCCCCCACAGGTGGACCTGTTTGCATTCAGGAAGAACAGAAAGTGCCGTGTGTTCTGTTCCCAGCAGGGAAGGGACAAAAGTTCCCTGTGAGTCGCCTTCTTGATTCAGTGGTCAGGAGCGCTGATGTATGCCTTCACGCTGGTGCCTTAAATCCACAAGGTCCTGCTAAAGATGAGGCAAGACAAAGCAAATGTCATCCTCATACTCCCCGCATGGCCTCGTCAACACTGGTTTGGCATGCTGTTGAGTCTTTCAGTGGCCACCCTGCTGCAACTGCCTCTTTTTTGCTGGATCTGTAGTCCCAGAACCACACCAATCTGCTGTATCTGTACCTGGTGATGCTTCACCTGACAGCTTGGCTTCTGCGTGGCTAAGTAGGGACAAATGTCAGTGCTCCGAGGGTGTCCAGCAGGAAACCCTCCACTTTGCCACGTAGGTAGCCACAGTGAAAGCGGTTCATGTGTTGGGCCTCTGATTGACACATTTGTGCTGAAGAGGCCCTGCTGCAGCACATCCTGGACCTTTGCTGCACCTTAAGACCCAGGGCCTGTCGCTATCTTTCTTCAGGATACATCTGGTGGGCATTTCGTCATTCCACCCTCTGTTTCAAGGTAGGACCTGGGGATTAGAGTGGCTGAGAAGCTGAATAAGAGTCAGAAGTGTGCCCTTGTTGCCAAGAAGGCTAATGGCATATTGGGCTGCATTAGTAGGAGTATTGCCAGCAGATTGAGGGAAGTAATTATTCCCCTCTGTTCGGCACTGGTGAGGCCACATCTGGAGTATTGCATCCAGTTTTGCCCCCACCCCCACCCCCCAACTACAGAAAGGTTGTGGACAAATTGGAGAGAGTCCAGCGGAGGGCAACGAGAAAGATTGGGGGGCTGGGGCACATGACTTACAAGGAGAGGCTGAGGGAACTGGGATTGTTTAGTCTGCAGAAGACAGAGTGAGGGGGGATTTGATAGCAGCCTTCAACTACCTGGAGGGGGGTTCCAAAGAGGATGGAGCTCAGCTGTTCCTAGTGATGACAGAACGAGGAGTAATGGTCTCTAGTTGCAGTGAGGGAGGTCTAGGTTGGATATTTGGAAACACTATTTCACTAAAAGGGTGGTGAAGCACTGGAATGGGTTACCTTGGCAGGTGGTGGAATCTCCATCCTTAAAGGTTTTTAAGGCCTGGCTTGACAAAGCCCTGGCTGGGATGACTTAGTTGGTGTTGGACTAGATGACCTCCTGAAGTCTTTTCCAACCCTTTTTAAAAAAAAAAAAAAAAAAAAAAAAAGATGGTCTTCGCCCATTCCATGACAGCGTGCAGTTCTTGAAAGGTCTGGAGCGCCTCTACCCTCATGTCTGCGACCTGGTCTCCCCTTGGGACCTGAATCTTGTGCTGTCAAGGCTCATGGGTCCCCGCTTTGAACCCTTTGCTTCCTGCTCCCTCCTGCTTCTCTCCTTGAAGATCTCCTTGGTCGCTATAACTTTGGCCCGTAGAGTGTCTGTCTGACATCAAGACGCTCACATTGGAGCTGCCTTATATGGTCTTCTATAAGGACAAGGTTCAGCTGCGTCTCCACCCGTCTTTTCTACCCAAGCTTGTCTCCCAGTTTCATACTGGTCAAGACATATACTTACTGGCTTTTTGTTCAAAGCCTCATGCGATGGATGAGGAATGCAGGCTGCATACCCTGGACGTCAGATGGGCGCTGGCCTTCTATATAGATAGAACAAAGCTGTTCTGAAAGTCAATGCAGTTGTTCATTGCTGTCGCAGACAGGATTGAGGGTTGCCCAGTGTCTGCCCAGAGAATCTTGTCTTTGATCATGGCCTGCATCCACTATCTTATGAACTGGCGAAAGTGCCCCTGACGACTATCATGATGGCTCGTTCCACTAAGGTGCAGCCATCATCAGAAGCCTTCCTGGTGTAGGTGCTGATCCAAGAAATGTGTCTGGCTGCAACCTGGTGAGATAATGCAATGTTTATTGGGGATCGTTTCCAATCAAGCATATTCCAAAGCCCTTCACACCAGTCAGGCGTATCTCTATACGCCCATAGAGTCTGTTTCCCAGTGTCCCGTTCCCAGCTCTGACATGGCAGAGCCTTGCCTGCGTCTCTGTTCCCGTTTTCTCCCCCCCCTTAACAAACATGATTCCAATTTCCCTTCCCCCCCCATTTAACACCAGTTTATATAGTAATGTTCTCAGCTATACCTTAACCAGTCATTTTACTGAAATTTAACTAACCAATCCTAACCTATTGTAACATAATTCACTAACCAATTATATCCCACTACCCTAATTAACTTACCCCTACCATAATTAATTGTACAGCAGACAGAAACAATTAGAGAACCAGACAGATTAACAATAGAAAAGTGGGGGCCATAAAGATAAAACAGTAGAGAAATGAGGGTTTCACAACCATTGATAAGTGATTTCTTGCTAGCTAGGATGCTATCAAATTAAGTTTTCTTTATCTTAATATCTGTTTTTTTAACTAGTGGTGATGGGCACTATTAGGACAGGATCGTCTTCCTAACAGCCCAATACCACCTTATTTCAGTGTGACTGGTTTTGGATGTGACAATGTGACCGTACGCTTCCCGGCTTATGGCTGCCCCTGCGGCTTAGCCAAAGGCCTTAGCCTAAGAACAAGGCCTCAGACCATCCTAGTGAGAAGGCCCATACACAGGCGGACTGTGATTTTGATTCTTTGTTTTTATACCCCTGTAACTAGCTGAGTGATAAAAATACAGTTAAGTTCTTAAAGTATAGGCTTTACAGGCAGTTTTGAATATCTATATTCTAATAGTGGGTTCTACCCCTTCCCCCCATTCTGTGTCTGTCTTGTCTATTTAGATTGTAAATTCTTCAGGGCACAGGCCATCTTCTATTCTGTGTTTGTACTCTGCTCAGCACAGTGGGGACCCCCTAGTTAGTTAGGTACTAAGATAATGAATATGATTTATAATAACAACTTTCCTGCCACTGTGAGCCAAGGAAGCAGGCGTTGGGATGTTACTATTTAAAAATAAGCTGGGGTTAAAACCATGAAATATTCCTTGTGACAAGTATCCAACACTTTCGACTGACCTCCCTTGTTTTCTTTGCCTTGAGTAGGGTTTTTCCAGTTTCCAAACCTGATGTGAACTCGCAGCTGGAACGAGGGGGAGAGCCGTGGGTCCCAGACCTCCAGGGCTCTGAAAAAGAAGTGCTCTCAAGAGCTGCCTGCACAGGTAGGGAATTGGTTAAACCAATTCAAAAACTGTTTGGGAATGCAGGAAATATTTGGGATGCCCTACAAAGACCTTGTGAGCTCTCCAAGTTCAGGATTGTTCCCAGCAGGTGTGGAATCATAATGGCAGAAGTCACTCATGGCTTCCCACCTATTCTGACTGACAACTGGCAGTAGGTCCCTCCCCGATCTCACTTTCCCCTGAGTGTTCTGGTGAGATGCGGAGCAAAACTGATCCCTTCCTCTCTCCTCTGGGGAAGGGTTTGGGAAAAATCCTCCCCTGATAGGTTTGATCTCTCCCGCACACGTTTTGGTTTGTTCATCCCTTCTACCATTCCTGTCTCTGAGATTTCCTTTCTCTCTGGCGCAGGGAGTGACCTATGTCTGGATTCTCTCTGTCTCCCATCAGGTGGTGGGATGGTGAGTGAGAACGAGGAGGAGAAACCCCAGCAGGAAGATGCTGAGCCACTAGAACCACGTGGGACGTTATCAGGAAGACCCAAAGGGAATGTTTCCGGGAGTTGTGCACGCCCAGAAAAAGCAAAAGCCTGTGAGATGCAGCAGAGGCCAGAGGAAAACTTGAGTAGCCTCTCAGACCTTATTACACGCGAGAGCATCAACTTGGAAGAGACACGCTACACATGCCATGCGTGTGGGAAAATCTTCAATGGGAGCTCAGACCTTTTCACACATCAGAGAATCCACAGAGGAGAGAGACCCTACATGTGCTCTGAATGTGGGAAAAGCTTCAGTCGGAGCTCTGCCCTGATCACACACTGTAGAATCCACACAGGAGAAACGCCCTACATATGTACTGAGTGTGGGAAACACTTCAGTTGGAGCTCAAACCTTATCAAACATCAGAGAATCCACACCGGTGAGAAACCTTATGGATGCTCTGAGTGTGGGAAACGGTTCACTGACAGTTCAACCCTCGTCTCACATCAGCGAATCCACACAGGAGAGACGCCCTATACGTGCTCTGAGTGTGGGAAAACCTTCAATCAGAGCTCAAACCTTAATAGACATCAGAAAATCCACACGGGAGAGACACCTTTCACGTGCTCTGAGTGCGGGAAAAGCTTCAGTTATAGCTCAAACCTTATCATACATCAGAGAATCCATACAGGAGAGATGCCCTACACATGCTCTGAATGTGGGAAAAGCTTCAATCGGAGCTCAAACCTTATCACACATTGTAGAATTCACACGGGAGAGACACCCTACACATGCTCTGAGTGCGGGAAAAGCTTCAATCAGCACTCTCACCTTATCAGACATCGTAGAATCCACACAGGAGAGACCCCCTACGTGTGCTCTGAGTGTGGGAAATGCTTCAGTCGGAGCTCACACCTTATCACGCATCGGAGAATCCACACAGGAGAGATGCCCTACACATGCTCTGAATGTGGGAAAAGCTTCAATCACAGCTCAAACCTTATTAGACATCAGAAAATCCATATGAGGGAGAACTGTAATAAATGCCTGGACTAGGGCTGGCCAAAGATTTTTTTTTTTTTTTTTTAAATCACATTTGCTAATTCGCACTTAGTGATCTTTGCACCATCTTCACTGTGGTCTCTCAGCTCCCCCAGAGGAGTTGCCTGCTTCTGCCTTTTGCTGCTCACCCTTCTTTGTGATCTTTTCTATCAACTCCTTTCCTTTTGAGTCATAGGAGTGTGTCTCCAGCCAGGAATGTTCGTCAGCTCCAGGTGGGAGAGAGAGTTTGGAGCCCAACAAGCTGAGGCAAAAATTACCTGTGCCCTACATCCACTAGGACTGTACATGGTGTTGGCTGCTCAAGTTAGTGATCTTGGTGTAAAAAGACAATTATAGTTGTAGAGCAGATACAGCCCAGGTGTAGTGGTTGGCATTAGCTTTCCCCTTGACCTGACCTAAACTCCATCACTTTTCCGAGTCTAAACAAACCCTGAGCATCCCACTTATACTGTTCCCCCATTTCAAAGCAATTGTTAGTCATCAAGTTCTCCCTTCAGGAACAAATTCTTTCATTCCCAGTTGCTCTGATGTTGCTTCAGGTTGTGCTGGAGAGCAGATATTTTTACCACCATTTTCCTCACTTAAAATATATTTTAACTATAACAAAGAGCAGGAACAGGGCAGGGATAGGGAAAAATGTAATTTCCCCTCTGTAACAACAGAAGAAGATAGGGTAAGTCAGAGGGATTCCCTTATTCACAATACCAATCCCCCTGTTGTTCAATTGGTTAGGTCAATATTTTTTCTAAAGGGCTGGGAGGAGGATTCCCTAGTAAATGACTTGGGACTAAGCAAAATACCCATGCATTTGGCTCCCAAAGCAGTTGTGGCCCAGGCCCTGCAGGAGATGGCTCCTGAAGATAGCTCCTTCCTAATCAGGTGCATGTTGCCTATTATTTGGGAAATGCAATCCCTAGCTAGATAGAGATGGGGGAAAAATGGAAGTAATGTTTCTGTTCAGCTCACCCCTGGGAGATGCTGCAAATGTGTAGAAAATGAAATCCATGTTGAATGTGATAGAGCTGCAGAAAGATACCTGTTTTTAATAGATTCCTGACTTTTGGTGTTTTACAGGGATTCTAAGACGCACCTGAATTTAATCCCTAATTTAAATCTGTGCCACCAGATTAAAGAAATAAAAGGGCATATTTGGGGGAGTTATACCTCACTATCACTACTGATATGTTGTGTGGTTGGTGAAGAATTCTACAACAGAGAAGTGTAAAATTACTCCAAGTAAGGTCAATGATTTGACAAGAACTCAGGTAGAAATTGCAGGTACGCATGGTTGATTTTCACCCCAGAAATGGAAGCTATGGTGACCTGTGGCCCAGGTAAACTAGTTTTAGAACGCTGCTCCCTAGTTAAGTACTATTGATCATGGTCCTATAGGATGCCATGATTAAATTGGGAACAGCTGTCTTTTACCATTTGGATCCAAAGGTTCGCGAAGCACAGAGAGAAACAGCTGATTCCTTCAGAGCCGTTCCATGCCTTTGGGTCCCAATCTGACTGCCTTGTTGGACAAGAAGCATTTCCATGCTGGGCAAATGATGGTAGCCAATGGGGGAGTGTATCAGATTCCAAGTTCAGACTGCAGGCTACATGAATGCTGAGTCCTGTCTCTGGGGTTTGGTCTCTTAGTTTTGCTCTTAATCTAGTGCATTTGTATCATTTCACGTCCTGCTACTGTGAAAGATTAGAAAGTGTGAAAATAGAGCACAGGTGGTTTTTCTCATGATGCAACCTTCCCAAATAGTGTGAGACCCGGGGAGGCATGAACTCACAAAAATGGAAGGCTCCTAGATTATTGTAGAATGTGACTTCACACAAAGCTCACTGGGTGGAAATGGGAATTAAGAGAAAACTGCCCTATAGGTTTATATTTTGTAATCTTTGAATAAGTTGTTACCAGTGACAAATTAAACATGAAGTTAATTAGTGTAATGTAAGAGGCTGATTATGTGATAACTTTGTTTTACAGTATAATTCAGCTTTTCTTCTAGTTCTCACCCTGCCCCCTCCTACTATATAGGAAATGGTAGCTAATCCTGGAATTAAAGCCTCACTCCAAAGGAATTAGAGTGGGGGAATATGTGAGTGAAATAGTATTTATGAGAATAGAGACCCAGGATAGACTGTAATTAATTCTATTTAAAATGGAATTTATTTTAATAAATTTTAAAATAAATCTTCCATTAAAAGAGGAAATTACTTGAGACAAGATGTGAACCTTTTATCCAGTGAGAGGGTAACAGCCACAGACTTCCCCAGGTCTCTTGTTTGCAAAGCAAAGATGTCACATCAGGCAGGAGATGTCAAAATCTAAAATGGTGATGGTAGCTTTCCTGGTTTTTTGTTTTTGGTTGGTTTTTAATTTAATTTTTTTGTTTTAGCAACCAGGCCCCTTTTCCTTTAGAGCACAACGCTTTAACTCTCAGGCCTGGCTCTGGAAACCTCCTCAGAACTGGCCTTGTGTTGCTTTCATGTTTAATATCTTTGGGGTTCACACATCCACACTACATGTGGTTCACAGCAACAGATACTTTGAGAAACCTACTGCGTTAAGTGGACCTTTTCCAAACTGACATTGGACCAAAGTCTGCCTCAATTCAGCTGGATTGGGACACATCTGTATCAAAGGAATGGTTCACACCTGATTTGCCCAGGGACCTCGGGGGAGGTGTGGTAAAATAGGATAAGTAGGAGTCAACAACAATAAAGATAAGGGTGAAAGACCCTCACCTTGCAGGTCAACAAACCTGTTCTGTTCAATCCCTCTGATGCATCTGTCACTGGTCACTCTCCAGCAGCACACTGGGCTCCATGGACCATTGGTCTGACCCAGTATGACCAGTCTTGCGTTCTTATGTTAAGTAAGTCCTCTACGGCCTTGTCTACGCTGGCAAGTTTCTGCACAGGAAAGGAGCTTTCTGCAGTGTAACTTTGGAGTTCTACAAACTGCCAAGCCACTTAGTGCTCAGAAAGTGTGCAGTTGCAGCACTATAAAAAAAGCCACCCCGACGAGCGGCGTAGAGCTGTCTGCACCAGGGCTACACCGCTGCGGGGCCATTGTAGACACCCTGGTGGATTGCAGTGCTGCAATTGGCCTCCGGGAGGTGTCCCACAATCCCTGTTCTCGCCTCTCTGGTCATTTGTTTGAACTCTACTGCCCTGCCCTCAGTGACCAACCGTGAACCCCCCCCCCCTTAAATTCCTTGGGAATTTTGAAAGTCCCCTTCCTGTTTGCTCAGTGACTCATGCAGTGGTCTCAGCGCATCTTTCCAGGTGACCATGCCTGCTCCGTGCACCAGGTGATCCTCCGCTTGGAGCAATGCCGAGCTGCTGAACCTCATCACCGTTTGGGGAGTGGAGGCTGTCCAGTCCCAGCTGTGCTGCAGCCGTAGGAATTATGATAACAGACAGATTTCATGATGCACGAGAGAAAGGGGCCATGACTGGGACACACTGCATTGCAGGGTCAAAGTGAAGGAGCTGTGGAACGCCTACCACAAAGCACAGGAGACAACCCCCTCCCCCGGTGCTGCGCCCAAAAGCTCCCAGTTCTACAAAGAGCTGGATGCGATATGCGGTGGTGACCCCTCCTCCACTGCGAAGGCCACTGTGGATACTTCGGTGGCCCACATGCTAATAGAGAGTGGACCGAGCCAGGAGGAGGAAATCTTGGATGAGGATGTGGAGGGGGAGGGGGACCCTGAGGCAGAGGATAACTCGGAGGTCAGAGATGCATGCAGTCAGGACTACTTCTCGACCCCAGAGGAGGCTAGCAAGTCACAGCTGTCAGAGCTTGGTGAAGTACAAACAGGAGAGGAGGCCTCTGGTAAGTGGCTTTGATTTTGGGAATCACTGAAGTGAGTTGTTGGGGGCAGGAGGGTTGCAGAAAGCAGGCTTGTGTCTGTATGATGTGCATACCACCACATGCCTAATCTGAGCAGTGGAATAGGGTGTTGATTGACTCTCTCGCTTCACAGGAATCTGCCCCAGATATCTCCATGAAACTCTAAGAGATAGGGGAAAGCCGATTGCTGCAGAGGAGCACTCGGATCGGACAGAGACTTCTCTTAGAGGAGAGTCTAGTGATAGAGATTTTCTAGGTTTTAGTCAGGAGGAGAGGATGGAAGAGGATAAAGTATGGGCCAGATCAGACTAGAAACATTCTTATAGAAAAGAATCTGACACATCAATAAAGGGCAGACAAATAAACAGTGACAAGTCTTTAAAGTGCTTGTATACAAATGCTAGAAGTCTAAATAATAAGATGAGTGAACTAGAGTGCCTCGTGTTAAAGGAGGATATTGATATAATAGGCATCACAGAAACCTGGAAGAGTGAGGACAATCAATAGGACATAATCATTCCAGGGTACAAAATATATCGGAAGGACAGAACAGGTCATGGGGGGGGGGGGGGGGAGTGGCACTATATGTGAAAGAAAATGTAGAATCAAATAAAGTAAAAATCTTTAAATGAATCCACATGTTCCATGGAATCTCTATGGATAGTAATTCCATGCTCTAATAAGAATATAACAGAAGGGATCTATTATCGACCACCTGACCAGGACAGTGATGGTGATTATGAAATGCTAAGGGTGATTAGAGAGGCTACCAAAATAAAGAACTCAATAATAGTGGGGGATTTCAATTATCCCATATTGACTGGGTACATGTCACCTCAGGACAAAACGCAGAGACAAAATTTCTTGATACTTTAAATGACTGCTTCTTGAACCAGCTGGTACAGGAACCCACAAGGGGAGAGGCAACTCTCAATTTAGTCCTGAGTGGAGTGCAGGATGTGGTCCAAGAGGTAACTATAACAGGACCGCTTGGAAATAGTGACCATAATATAATAACATTTAACATTCCTGTGGTGGGAAGAACACCTCAGCAGCCCAACACTGTGGCATTTAATTTCAGAAAGGGGAACTATGCAAAAATGAGGAGGTTAGTTAAACAGAAATTAAAAGGCACAGTGACTAGAGTGAAATCCCTGCAAGCTGCATGGACACTTTTCAAAGACACCATAATAGAGGCCCAACTTAAATGTATATCCTCAATTAAAAAACACAGTAAAAGAATTTTAAAAGAGCCACCTTTGCTTAACAATCATGTAAAAGAAACAGTGAGAGATAAAAAGCCATCTTTTAAAAAGTGGAAGTCAAATCCTAGTGATGTAAATAAAAAGGAGCATAAACACTGCCAAATTAAGTGGGATGTATAAGTAGGGGCATTGCCAGCAGATTGAGGGACGTGATTGTTCCCCTCTATTCGACATTGGTGAGGCCTCATCTGGAGTACTGTGTCCAGTTTTGGGCCCCACACTACAAGAAGGATGTGGAAAAATTGGAGAGAGTCCAGCAGAGGGCAACAAAAATTATTAGGGGACTGGAACACATGACTTATGAGGAGAGGCTGAGGGAATTAGGATTGTTTAGTCTACAGAAGAGGAGAATGAGGGGAGATTTGATAGCTGCTTTCAACTACCTGAAAGGTGGTTCCAAAGAGGATGGATCTAGACTATTCTCAGTGGTAGCAGATGACAGGACAAGGAGTAATGGTCTCAAGTTGCAGTGGGGGAGATTTAGGTTGGATATTAGGAAAAACTTTTTCACTAGGAGGGTGGTGAAACACTGGAATGCATTACCTAGGGAGGTGGTGGAATCTCCTTCCTTAGAGGTTTTTAAGGTCAGGCTTGACAAAGCCCTGGCTGGGATGATTTAATTGGGGATCGGTCCTGCTTTGAGCAGGGGGTTGGACTAGATGACCTCCTGAGATCCCTTCCAGCCCTGATGTTCTATGATTCTAAGTGTAAAAATGTAATAAAAAAAGCCAAAAAGGTAATAACAAAATGTTTTTTTTAGTACATCAGAAGCAGGAAGCCTGCTAAACAATCAGTGGGGCCATTGGACGATCAAGGTACAAAAGGAGCACTTAAAGACGATAAAGTCATGGCGGAGAAACTAAATTAATTCTTTGCTTCAGTCTTCACGGCTGAGGATCTTAGGGAGATTCCCAAACCTGAACCGTCCTTTGTAGGTGACAAATCTGAGGAATTGTCACAGATTGAAGTGTCGTTAGAGGAGGTTTTGGAATTAATTGATCAACTTAACAGTATCAAGTCACCGGGACCAGATGATATTCACCCAAGAGTTCTGAAAGAACTCAATTGTGAAATTGCGAAACTGTTAACAATTGTAACTTGTCTTTTAAATCAGCTTCTGTACCCAATTAGTGGAAGATAGCTAATGTAATGTCAATATTTAAAAGGGGTTCTAGAGGTGCTCCTGGAAATTACAGACCGGTAAGTCTAACATCAGTACCAGGAAAATTAGTTGAAACAATAGTAAAGAATAAAATTGTCAGACACATAGAAGAACATAAATTGTTGGGCAAAAGTCAACATGGTTTCTGTAAAGGGAGATCATGTCTTACTAATCTATTAGAGTTCTTTGAAGGGAGCAACAAACATGTGGACAAGGGGGATCCAGTGGACATAGTATATTTAGATTTCCAGAAAGCCTTTGAGAAGGTCCCTCACCAAAGGTTCTTATGTAAATTAAGTTGTCATGGGATAAGAGGGAAAATCCTTTCATGGATTGAGAACTGATTAAAAGACAGGGAGCAAAGGATAGGAATAAATGGTAAATTTTCAGAATGGAGAGGGGTAACTGGTGGTGTTCCCTAAGGGTCAGTCCAAGGACCAATCCTATTCAACTTATTCATAAATGATCTGGAGAAAGGGGTAAACAGTGAGGTGGCAAAGTTTGCAGATGATACTAAACTGCTCAGGATAGTTAAGACCAAAGCAGCCTGCGAAGAACTTCAAAAAGATCTCACAAAACTAGGTGACTGGGCAACAAAATGGCAAATGTGGATAAATGCACTTTGGAAAAAATACCCCCAACTATACATACAGTATGATGGCGGCTAATTTAGCTACAACTAGTCAGGAAAGAGATCTTGGAGACATCGTGGATAGTTCTCTGAAGATGTCCATGCAGTGCGCAGCGGCAGTCAAAAAAGTGAACAGGATGTTAGGAATCATTAAAAAGGGGATCGAGAATAAGAAGGAGAATATCTTATTGCCCTTATATAAATCCATGGTATGCCCGCATCTTGAATACTGCTTACAGATGTGGTCTCCTCATCTCAAAAAAGATATACTGGCATTAGAAAAGGTTCAGAGAAGGGCAACTAAAATGATTAGGGGTTTGGAACAGGTCCCATATGAGGAGAAATTAAAGAGGCTAGGAGTTTTCAGCTTGGAAAAGAGGAGACTGGGGAGGATATGATAGAGGTCTATAAAATCATGAGTGGTGTGGAGAAAGTGAATAAGGAAAAGTTATTTACTTGTTCCCATAATATAAGAACTGGGGGCCACCGAATGAAATTAATGGGCAGCAGCTTTAAAACAAATAAAAGGAAGTTCTTCTTCAGACAGTCCACAGTTAACCTGTGGAATTCCTTGCCTGAGGAGGTTGTGAAGTCTAGGACTATAACAGGGTTTAAAAGAGAACTGGATAAATTCATGGAGGTTAAGTCCATTAATGGCTATTAGCCAGGATGGGTAAGAAATGGTGTCCCTAGCCTCTCTTTGTCAGAGGGTGGAGATGGATGGCAGGAGAGAGATCACTAGATCATTACCTGTTAGGTTCACTCCCTCGGGGACAGCTGGCATTGGCCACTGTCAGTAGACAGGATCCTGGGCTGGATGGACCTTTGGTCTGACCCAGTATGGCTATTCTTATGTTCTTATGTACTGGGCAATCTGCTGCTGCAGGTTCTTTGGCAGAGCTGCTTTGTTTCTTGCCCCATTAAGGGTAACTTTCCCGCGCCACTCTGCCGTCACCGAGGGAGGGGCGGAGACCATTGCTGCACACAGGCGAGCCGCATAAGGGCCAGGCCGGATGCTGCAGTCTTGGAGAAGACCCTCCCTTGATTCCCTGCTCACCCTCAGCAGCAAGATATCTTCCATTATGAAAATAGCCTGTGGAAAATGTGAGCACATGAATGATTATAAGGCCCCTCCTACAGTGCGGTCTCTCCCCAAGAGCCACGTTCCCAGTGTGCAGTATGGTCCTGGAACAGTGATTTCCCCTGCCCCTGCTGTAACCATTTTGGGGGTCTTGTGGTTCATGTGTGCTTGTCTACGGACAGCCAGTTAGTGATAGGTATGTGCATAGTGGCTGTGTTTTAAATCATTCCGTCAGTGGTCTGTGTTGCAAACAATACTGCTTCTGTAAAATGTTGCATTTTGGCTTCACAGATATGACCTTAGGAGCCCAGCCTCCCTCTTTGTTATCGGCAGCTGAACGGCTGTGCAGAATTAGAAAGCAGCCATGAAGAACTTAAGAGAGCTTTCTGTGTGATGTCACGATGCACTCCACGGCCGAAAAACAAGAATTGAAGGAGTGGCAGAACAGCGAGAAGGGGGACTGAAAGGAGAACGCGGTGCACCAGATCGAAGCCACAGAGTGGTTCTTAAACGTTATGGAGTGCCATTTGGACATGCTCCAGGTGCTACTTGCGCTGCAATCCAAGTAGCTCTGCGCCTGCCCTCCCTTGCAGCCACTGTTGCAAAACTCTTTTCCATGCACCCCCTGACACTGTCAACACACTCTTATCAACCTCCTGGCTCCAGTCTGTACCCGCTGCATTCCACTCCTGCCCCGTCACAGTCCAGCCCTGCGGACTCCCAGTACCCACTACACTCAACACCTGTCTCTCGGCAGTTTATTATTGCTGAAGTACAGTACCCACTGCAATGTACTCCAATGAGCAAGATTGCATGTGATACCTGGACATACACAAATCTTTAACTGTCCTAGGACCTCACCTCCTCATGGGACCCTCCCTTCCCCCATCCCCCACAGTGTTGATGTGGTTTTTGTTTGTTTGTCTCTCTCTTCCAGTGGTTGCTTTTTAATAAAAGAATAGTTTTGGTTTGAAAGCCATCTTCATTCCATTAATTGAAAGCAAACAGAGCCCTGCAAAGCAACAGGCAATTTTCTTAAAGCTTCATAGTGCATTGTCTGCACCAATCACCTCCTAGCATTACAAGCACTGCATTCCTGTGCATAGCAACAAATATTCATGGCTTTCGGCTTCAAATTGCTGCCTCAAGGCATCCACTGCTCCCCTCTAATAGTGCTGATCTCTGGCTGTTCATCTTCAGCCTCCAGGCACTGAGCTTCAGTGGTCCAGCCCTGAGTGAAGCCTTCACCCTTCCCTTCACAAATATTATGGAGAGTACAGTATGCAGCAATAAGCATAGGAATATTGTCATTGGCCAGGTCCAGCCTTCCATATAGGCAGCGCTAGCGGGCCTTTAATTGGGCAAAAGCGAACTCAACAGTCATTCTGCACTTGCTGAGCCTGTTGTTGAACCGCTCCTTGCTGCCGTCAAGGTGCCCCGTGTATGGCTTCGTAAGCCACGGCATTAAAGGGTAGGCGGGGTCTCCCTGCGTTAATGGCTGTGAAATGCCCACAGTGATCCACAAGTTCCTGGAGAACCATAGATAAATACCCCTTGTGATTAATATACTTGGTAGTTAGGTGGTCTGGTGCCAGAATTGGAATATGTGTGCCATTTATCACCCTCCACAGTTAGGGAACCCCATTTGTGCAAAGACATCCACAATGTCATGCACGTTGCCCAGAATCACCATCTTTCAGAGCAGGATGCAATTAATGCCCTGCACACTTCTGTCAACACGCATCCAGCGGTCGACTTTCCTACTTCGAACTGGTTAACAACTGACTGGTAGCAATCTGGAGTAGCTAGCTTCCACTGTGCAATTGCCACGCACTTCCCCAACGACAGGGCAGCTCTCATTCTCGTGTCCTTATGCTGCAGGGCTGTGGTGAGCTCCTCACACAGTCCCATGAATGTGGCTTTCCTCATCTGAAAGCTCTGCAGCCACTGCTTGTCATCTCAGATGTGCATGATGATGTGATCCCACCACTTAGTGCTTGTTTCCTGAGCCCAAAAGTGGCGTTCCACTGTGGTCAGCACCTCCATGAATGCCATAAGGAATCTCGTGTCATAGCTACTACGTGTGGCGAGATCAATATCGAACTCCTCTTGCCTTTGTAGTTTAAGGAATAACTCCACTGCCATTCATGATGTGTAAGTAAGAGTGAGCAGCATATTGGTCAACAGCGCGGGATCCATTCCTGCTGCCCGAAGAGGCAGAGCGCGCAGTAGACCAACCATTGAAAGGGTGCCAAATGCGGACGGAAGCACAGGGATTTCTGGGATGCGAAGCAATGCATCACAGGGCATTGGGACAGGACCCAGGATGCCCCGTGACCCCCTCCACCTTCCCACAACTCTTAGTGACAGAAGAGGAAGAGATGCTCATTGGGATTCTGGGTGCACCACTGCAAATACCGCAGCAAGTGCCGCAAGTGTGAACACACTATTGTGCAGGCAGCTGACAGTGTGAACACACAACAGCGGTTTCCCTTCAGCGCTCTCTGAGCAGCACTGTGACTCCTGGTGCTGTAACTCTGCCAGTGTAGACAGAGCCTCAGAGAGACAGGCTGCCAGGATCCCAGGACTGATCCCCTCTGGGGAATGAAGCACAACGTCGACAGGCTATGCAGCCTTCACTCGTTTCCTGTACCTGTAAACCCTGCTAACCCAAGGTGCTGGACCATCTATGCCAGCACCTGGTTCCTAAACTGCAGCTACAGTTCCTGCTCCAGGTGAATCCAAAGACCGAGAGGTGCAGAGATCCAACCCCTTATAATCTTGTTCCTTTTTCTATTTTTTGTCTCTGTTTCTTTTTATGAACTTGGAGACACCCTATTAGATTGGAGTGTAACAGTGCCGCTCAGTGGGTGTGAGTGTGTGAACACATCTGAAATCTACAAAGGGAAGATACTAGGAAGAACAGTTCCCCAAATTTTAAAACTCTGCCTAGGAAATGACTGAATGCACGCTCCTCACCCTCCTACACCCCCAAACCCTGTCCCAGCCCGGAGCCTGCACCCAGCACCCAAACTCCGTCCCAGAGCCTGCAGCCCCACCCCTTTACCACACATCCCCTGCTGCTCCCAAACTCCCTCCCAGAGCCTGCACCCCTCACCCTCTCCTGCACCCCTGCCCCAGCCCGGAGCCTGCACCCAGTTGTTAGGGGGCTTATTCCTTCACCCACTTACTTCCCTGGTCCTTCTTGCATGAACAGAGAGCAACAATACCCGAAGTCCAAAGGTGCAAACAATTTGATGTTTATTGGGGTGAACTTCCAGCAAGCATGATTCCAGTTTCCTTCCTTAGTGTCCCCCTTCCCGGCTCTGACCCCACAGAGGCTTACCTGTGTCCCTGTTCCCATTAGATTCTGTTTGTTTAAATGGCTGAGAAAATAAGCTGTGCTGAATGGAATGGATATTCCTGTCTGTGTGTCTTTTTGTAACTTAAGGTTTTGCCTAGAGGGATTCTCTATGTTTTGAATCTAATTACCCTGTAAGGTATTTACCATCCTGATTTTACAGAGGTGATTCTTTTACTTTTTCTTCTATTAAAATTCTTCTTTTAAGAACCTGATTGCTTTTTCATTGTTCTTAAGATCCAAGGGTTTGGGTCTGTGGTCACCTATGCAAATTGGTGAGGATTTTTTAACAAACCTTCCCCAGGAAAGGGGGTATAGGGTTTGGGAGGATTTTGGGGGGAAAGACGTTTCCACGCGGGATCTTTCCCAGTTATATATCTGTTAGACACTTGGTGGTGGCAGCAATAAAGTCCAAGGGAAAAAGGAAAATAGTTTGTACCCTGGGGAAGTTTTAACCTAAGCTGGTAAAAATAAGCTTAGGAGGTTTTCATGCAGGTCCTCACATCTGTACCCTAGAGTTCAGAGTGGGGAAGGAACCTTGACAAACACAGATCGCTGTTCCTTGTAACTTTCAGATGCATTCAAATGGCAGCTGTTTAAAGGGAATGTGCTTCTAGTTCATGATCAGCAGCAGAATCTCTGTAAGGTTACCAACCATAGAGCTGGTTGTGTCTGCATGTAAGTAATTGTAGAGTTAGTGTAGTACCAGATAGTTAATTGCACAGTCTTACGTCTCTAGCCTCCCTTTCTGGTCTCATTGATCACTTGGGTAGAAACAGCAAGGGTTTGGTGGTTTTGTTTTTTGTTCTTTTCTCCCTTCATTTTTTCCTAAGGAATGTGTGATCTTGAGCATGTTATTTTAAGATCCCTGTGGGTCAGGATAATACCATCTCCTTGAAATAGGTGAGGAAGTGGCCTGTTTGTATCACCTAAAATGAAGGAGCTTTTGTCAAGCAGTTTTGCCTTTAAATATACGGGGATTAAAAATAGTAAATTCCACAGCCAGACACCAGCATCATACAAACTTTAAGTTACTGTGCATAAAATCAGCTATTCTTGATCAATTAATTACAGAAGAAACAAACTCTTAGGAAGTAGCTGTAATTTGTCCCCAAACCTTTTTTTGTTCTCATATGCTACCAGAGATTCTCTTCGAGGGCAGAGTTACTGTTATCTGGGCATGTACCATCGCTCTTTATTCCCTGTTTTTCCAGGTTTGAGTTTTACTGAGCTTGATGTCCTGGAAGGGTAAGAGATATTCACAGTCAAAGTTAACTCTGTGTGAACAAACGTTTTTGTTAATGACAAATAATTTAACTAATCCCTCATTGCAGTAATTCCACTGACTTCAATGTACTCTCCCCATTTCTAGTTCCCAAAAAATAAGCAAATTAAAACAACCTTGAGAACTAAAAAGCTGTGAGAAAGTGGAACTTTTAGTAGCTCAAATAATTCAGTTTCTTCTATGTCTTGTGCATGTGTAAAAGGCAGAGCACATTAATTTATAAGCGCATCTTTCTTAACTTCTTTAACTATCATGGAGTACATTAACTATATCAAGTGGGTTGTTCAATGCAGTGAGGTTTTCATGCATTGCCCCAAACATATTTTTCATATTACTTAAATAAACACAACTCACTGAATCATAGAATCATAGAATATCAGGGTTGGAAGGGACCTCAGGAGGTCATCTAGTCCAACCCCCTGCTCAAAAGCAGGACCCATCTCCAATTAAATCATCCCAGCCAGGGCTTTGTCAAGCCTGACCTTAAAAACTTCTAAGGAAGGAGATTCCACCACCTCCCTAGGCAACGCATTCCAGTGTTTCACCACCCTCCTAGTGAAAAAGTTTTTCCTAATATCCAACCTAAACCGCCCCCCACTGCAACTGGCCAGAAACTTGTTTATTTCATGCTCTGAAGTGTGTTGGTAGCTCAAATTAAATAGGTTTATTTTCTCTTTGTGTGTGTGAGGTACAACACATTAATTTAGTGGTGCTGAAAATGTTCCCTTCTCCCTCCAGAACTGCCTCGGAATCACCTTCCCTTTGTAGATTAATCTGCTCCTGCGTCTCTATGAGGAAAATATGATTTCTATGAAAAAACCCCAATTTTTTAATTAAAAAGGGACTGAGACAGAATGGCCACATGATGGTGACACAACGTCAGGAATGCAAAGCAACAGGCTCCTGGTTTGCACATTGATGGTGACAAGGGATTGAACTCGACTCCTCTCTTTTCACAGACACATTTGTTTAATTCTCTGAGGCCAAACATAAGTTTAAATGAATTTCCAGGGCGATGAAAGGGGACTTTGGGATTGATTTCACTTGTCCACCAATGCAGCATTTAGTGGTATAAATAGCACCATGGGCTGGACAGAGAATGGAGACACCCTGAGCTGCCTGGTAGCAAACCCTGGCTTCCCAGCTGCAATTGGACATGCTGCACATCTACACATGGGTGTAAATAGCCCAGCATGGCCCCTGTGGGGTTTTGTGCATGGCACAGTGGTTCTGGTAGAAATGCTGATGCCATTAATGGCTGCACAGTGCTATGGCATGATACCCACATACACTAAGGCAACAGGGGGCTCAGTCCACCCCCAGCTGTGATGCAGGGAGAACAGGAGTTAGTTTCACATGCCTCTTTTCAGGCTGTAATCTGGGGCACCCTGCTCTGTGGGGGGGATCCTGGCAGCTTAGACTCAGGGCTGGAACAGTCCCCTGATTTCGGTGGTGGGCGCATGGTTCCCAACACTCAGATGTCTCAGACAATCTGTCTCCCCCAAAGCCTCAGGCCCCAGGGAAGGCTCCTGCACTGCCTCAGCTCCTTTCACACTCTCTAGAGAGGAGCAGCAGTCAGGGTTAGGGTTAAGTTGTGGGGCTCTAGGTGAGTGGCAGAAGCTTTGGGAGCTGAGAATTTGCCCGAGACCTCAGGGACACAGTGTGAGGTAGGATCCCAGGCATCTAAATGGAACAGAACAGGGTTTACTTGGCTACCCGACAGAGGTCAATTCTGTTTTATAGAAAGACATTGGAAAATATGAGCAGAGGAGACAAAAGAATGCAGTGCAAAGCACCCCTGGGAGTTGGCCCCATGATTATGTGTTTACAAGGTAGGTATGTTAGTCAGCTCAGCCATGACACTTGCCTCAAGATGTACCTTGCAACAGCGCTACTTGAAGCTCCATGACAACAGTTACAAATTCCAGAGCGGAGATGTTCTCCGTTTCCTGCAAGACCTGCAGACATCGAGCTGTCTGGTTGTCTCTGCACAGAAAGCCAAGCTGAGCTGACAGAGAGCTTTTCGGGGGCTCATCTCCCACTGGCAGCTGTGATCATATAGTGATTAGTACTCTACATTATGGTCGCAGTAACCTTTTCATCAGCTCCAGATGTGTAGTTTGCTGCTTTCCAAGACTTAGCCACAAGGAAGTCTCTCTCTGTCTTGAACAAGCACTTACAAGGATTGCCCAGGAAGGTCTTTTCTGTTTATGAGAAAAAGATACAAAAAAGAGAGCCCAACAGACAAGCTAGGTTCAGCAATGATGAACTGGCAGAGCAAGCGAGGATCTCCTGGGTAGCAGGAAGGCTCCTAAGTCAGCTTTTTCCAAGGGCCATTCTATAGAGGCCTTTCAATAACCACTGCAGACGTTCACTGAGAAAGAGAGAGAGAGATTCCAAAACCAAGTTCTCCATTGTCAGCAGATATCAAACTGTTAGGAACTCTGTGCATAGAGTGTCCATGCTTGTAGAAAATGTCTTTGGAAGAGACCTTTCTGTCACCTGCCATCATCATAGAGTGTGTAGTACTCTGCATTGTGGCTTCAAGAGTTGTGGATGAAAGTTGAGTTATGGTGACCTTTTCCTTGTCTCCATGGTTGTCAGGTGCCTCCTTCTGACATTTATCAGAATAAATAACCAGGTGGCCAGGATTTTTATTCCTAAGCAAAGGCGATCTTCTTCAAAAGATCAACCAAAAGGTGGGAAGAGCAGACACATTCCAAAAGGAACCACTAGGTCTTGCGTCCCTAATCTCCTCTTTACTCGGCAGCTTTCTGGGACTTTTGTCCTAGCTGCTTCATTTTTCATCAATGACAATCAGAAGGAAAGTGAAAGGACAGTAACTTTCCATTACCTGCAAGTTCTGCACTGATCATGCTATCACAATCTCCCGGTGCAGACATCCCCAGCAAATCACAAGGAAATACAGCACAGGCTTTCATGTCATATCAATTGCGGTTGAAGCAAATGCCTTGCCAATGCTCTTCAGAGCAGCCTTTTCCTCAGCTCTAGGCTTGTGATTTGATTTCCAATGTTCCTCTGCAAATTAGACTTTTCTTTGATGAGCAATTGCTTGGATTACTGATGGAGGTCTCATGTTCCCCAAAAAGACATAGGAAAGGAGAACAAATGCATACAGCAAAACACCACTGGGAGTTGAACCCAGGATCACTTGTTTAGTAGGCAGGTGCTTTTGGCAGCTAAGCCGTGGTACCTACCTGAAGATGCTGTTTGCAACTGCTCCACTTAAGTGTCGAAGACAACAGCTGCACATTCCAAAGTACAGACGTTCCCCATTTCCCTGAAGACCAGCAGACCTTGAGGTGTCTGGGTCTCTGTGCACAGAAAGCCACAGCTGCACTAACAGAGGGCTTTTAAGATGCCTTAGAGGACTTATTCCTTCACTCTCTCACTTCCCTGGTCCTTCTCGCATGAATAGAGAGCAACAATACCCGAAGTCCGAAGGTGAAAATAATTCGATGTTTGTTGGGGTGAACTTCCAGCAAGCTTAAATACAAGTTCCTTTTTCCTTATTTTCGAATCCCAACTTACTTCCTGTTTGCCCCTAATTTATATAGTAATATTCTCAGCTATACTTTAACCAATCATTTTACTGAAATCTATCTATAACCAATCCTAACCTATTGTAACTAATTCTCTAACCAATTATATCCCACTACCCTAATTCACTTACCCCTACCAAAATTAATTAGACAGCAGACAGAAACAATTAGAGAACCAGACAGATTAACAATAGAAAACTGGGGGCCATAAAGATAAAACAATAGAGAAACAAGGGTTTCACAACCACAACCATTGAGAAGTGATTTCTTGCCAGACAGAATGCTATCAAACTAAGTTTTCTTTAACCATCTTTCTCAGGAGGCGATAGGCGTTATCAGGACAGGACTGTATTCCTAACAGC